ACTATGGAGAATCCACATAAGCAAAGGGTTCTAGATAATAACTAGGCCTAATCCAACCTTCGACATAAGGCTAGGATTTCAATCGACTAAAAGGAGTAGTGCTCGATAGAGAGGTTAGATGTTAGTGATACCACTAAAAGGTATTGTCATGACATATCCTGTTATCTGAACCAATAGGATCCCTACACTAGCTAACACCAATAGGTTTTGCCATGGCATTTTGAACCTGTCGAGTCACATGACTAGAGATAGCATAGGGCACCATTAGCAAACTCTGTTGGGCAAATAAGACATATAAGTAAGACCATCCTGAGAAGTAAACTTAAGTTTCCTAAGTGACTCCTATCATTCATTCCCGTAGTAGCTTGTTGTGTGAGGAGTCTAAAGTCCTTATAATCAAATCTAGTATTTATATTTTGTTTTGCCTTTACATTTTCATTTGAATTCACTAAACATATTTTAATTTGTCGCGACATTTCCATCCATTTTGCCACGACATCTCTATTTGCTTATACATTACACTATCATTCCATTCCCACCAACATCCATTTCATTTTGCCATAACGTTCTCATTTGTACATATCATCACTAACTATAATTAGGTAAAATAGTTAATTTCTTTGACTGAACTTATAAATTTCCTTCAATCCCTGTAGATATGATACTCACTCATCACTGTATTACTTGTTCAATTGTGTATACTTGCACATATTTTCACGACCATATATAGTAGTCACAATTCGTGGACATCAAGCTTTTTCCTTGCAAGTCATAGTGTGCAAACTATGTCCCACTAAAATAGTTCCACCAGGTAACAATTTCTTCATGGATTTCTATGAAATGTTCCATAGCTCAAATAAACAAATATTGATGGAGGTCCAACAAACATAAATATTAGCCATTCTATACATGTATATGTCAGTTACTAAACAAGAAACATAATAAGTTTTACATTCTTCTGAGGTGTTATATCGGAAACTATAGTACATGTGGACTTACGAGTTTGTCTACCATAGTGGAGAGATTCTATAATGATGTTAAGTTTCATGCTTTGCATCACCTAAATAGATCCCTATTAGACTTTACTTTGAGCATCCTTAGTGATGTTATGTGATAATAGAGTTAAACTTCATAATTCAGACAAGGCAACTGCCATGTAGTTAGTTATGGTCTATTATGATGGAAATCATCTTAATGAATTAAAGGTATACTCTAAATTGAGTGATTATTGTACCTGATGCATAGTGAATTTAGAAATACTGTGAATGTGAACTTGATAAAAATGAATTAGGTAATTGGATGACTTGAGATAAGCTACGCTCTAGATATCGAGTAATCATAAGGAACTATGTTGATAATGTCAAAGATTATGAATAAATGATTAATTTCGATAAGTTTATAGCAGGTTATCATGCATGTGTATTCCTATAAAATTCATAAAATATAATAGAGTATATATGTACTATTGAGCTTTGTTAGCTCAACGCTCAGATTGTTTTGGTTTGTAGGTTACAAGTTTTAAAGATCATGATGGAAAAACAATAACTTCATATGAATCTTAGTGGGAGTATCATAGTACAATGATGGGTATTTAACTGGGCATGTAGAGGTCACTTCATAATGATATAGGATACGGCAGTTAGCAGAGAAGAAAGAAAGAAAGTAACAATGTTGTTCATAATGACTCAAGCAACTACTACGCCGTAATGATATAGGCATAGGCCCAACTTCACTTCTCTTCGTCGTCAGCCTGCAACCATGCAATATGAACGACACAAGAGGAAAATAAGATTGTACCTGGGGGGGACTTTGCACCTCTAATAATATAAGCAATTCGTATATGAAGATGGTCACTTCATTAATAATTTATCGCCAAGAAAAGCACCCATCAAAACTATCTTTAAGACTCTGGAAAGCAACTATGTCGATTAAATGTTTGAAAAAGATTGAGATAAGAAAATTTCAAAAATTAAGTTGTTCTGACACTGGGAAAATAAAACAATCTACCTTGACTCATCCACAATAACAAATGATCATTTTCTGTGATCAGTCATTATCGCCCCATCAAAAACAATAATGACTATAGCTAAGCAACACTAACAGTTTGGATGGATACAAAAACTTTAAGTTTTGGGAACAACATTTTTACCGATTATAGAAAGAAAATAGGGTACGGTAGAGAAGAAAGACATACCTGCAGGTCGTTGGCAGTTGGCGACCGGAAGAGTGCGACAGCGGCGGGATGCTACGCTGGTGGTGGTCGCTAGGCTATGGTGGATGTGTTGGGTTAGGGTCTGGAGAATTAGGGATCGGGCAGGAGAAAGGGGGAATATATTTATCTTTTCGCGGCGTTTACAGGAAAAAAAATGCCACTAATGTACGTGATTTTTCGGCGTTTTTAAAACAAGCGCCACAATAGATGAACCTATTACGGCGTTTGTATAAAAACGCCGCTAACTTACTACAATGTTGCGTCGTTTATTGAAAAAATGTCACTATAGATGAACCTTATTACGACATTTGTACAAAAACGCCGCTGACATATTAATTTGTTTTGGTGTTTTTTGAAAAAAATGTCAATATAGATTAACCCTATTACGACATTTTTGTAAAAACACTGCTATAGTACTTCTTCGGTGCGTTGTTTGTTTAGGAAACGCCACTAAAGATGAACCTATTGCAGCGTTTGTATTAAAACACCGCGAAAGTACTACCATATTACAGCGTTTGTTGAAAAATGTCACTATAAATTAACCCTATTACGACATTTTTGTAAAAACACTGCTATAGTACTTCTTCGGTGCGTTGTTTGTTTAGGAAACACCACTAAAGATGAACTTATTGCAGCGTTTGTATAAAAACGTCGCAAAAGTACTACCATGTTGTGGTGTTTATTGAAAAAACACCACTATAGATTAACCCTAATACGACATTTGCTAAAAACACCGCTAAAGTTACCATTTTACGGTGTTTGGTATGTAAACACCGCTATATGTTTAAAGTTAGTGGCGTTTACCCTCTAAACGCCGCTAAAAAGCCGATGTAGAATAGTTTTGTTGTTGTGAATATTTATGTTTTTCATATTTTTTGCAAATCATTTTAAAAATTTTAATCGTGGAGTTAGAGTTTGTAAAGTTTAAGATCACTTCAATGATCGAATGTGACATTTGTGAACTTAATGACATGTAAAGGTTAGGTTTAGGGTGTTACATTGGAAAAATATGCCTCCGCTAGAATTGAGGTAACTTATCCTCGACCTTCATAAAATGCAAAGATTTTTGATAAAACGTTGAGTATCTCCTAGAGTGGCATACAAAGGCATCGAGAGCCTTTCACAAAAGAGTACATGAATCTGGAGACATTTCGAGATAACTTCGTAAACTATAAAATCCCACACTAAACAAATAAAACACTAAAACCAGAAACTTGAGTAAAATTCATAAACGATATCAAATTTTCAGATTACACGAGTATCGATCCAAATAAAATTTCCTCATACAACGTTGAGAAACTTTTGCAAGAAGACATGCACATGCTTAAACTAAAAAAGTATAACATAAGCATAGAGACAACTCCCCGAACAAAAAAACCATTAGGCTTACCTCAAAAACAACCACGAGCCCTAAAAATCCAACGTAAGAGGGCATGTGCAAGTCTGAAGAGACCTCCGATATAATTTTACAAAAATTACACACCTAAAGCAAATAGCACGCTTAGATAACAAACCTCGTATAATTTATAAAAGCACCAAAGTCTATCTACGAAACTACCATCAATCTCAATGGAGCTTTGGGAATCCTTCGTGGAAATCAAACACAACACTAAAGGAAATATCACCCAAGATAATTCCAACACGCGTTCTATACCACCTCCGAATACAAAATTGTTTGCCAACATATGTGTCCAAGATTCAGGGAGTATACCCCCAAACGCATAGCCTCTGGGCACTTCTCCTATTGGGAAGTCACAGTTATCCAATATATCTTTTAACTAGTCTCACATGATTTGGCAAAATCAATAGGAAACCGACTATCGAAATCAAATCTATTTTCTCAGAGAGACCAAGAACATCGACATCAGCCAATGATCGATATACCATCCGTCTAAATCAGAAAGGACGATTCGCCATCAACCATCGTGACCTATTTGACACCTTCATCAAATCTTTGAGGTATCAAGTCTCAAGTTGAACCACTTTATGATACTTCCTCAATAACGAAAGACTTCAGAAATACCACTCTACATATCTACCAGTAATCAACAATTCATGAAGGATCTACTTAATAACATAAGTCGCCAACAAGACTCTTGATAAATTTGAGAAATCTGTTCCTAACCAAATATGTTAATCGGCAACTATATTTATACATTTTTTAATCTGTACATAACATTCATGATCCTAGAAAGAACCCAAGCATGCGAAAAGAGTTAATTCGGGGTTAACATATAGTCTCAGTAACAGACAAGAAAGGGATTGAAAGTATTTTTTCTCCTAAGCTACAAAGTGCTTTTTATTCAAACACCACGATTATCGATTACGTTTTTTTTTTAATCTAAATCAGTCGTCAATTATGATTCTCCATCTAAATTAAAAGGATAATCGATATTTGCAAACATATTCGTCCTCGTTGCATGCCAAAAAGAACGAGCTTTGTTTTATTTGAATGTCAAAGTTTGGGCGGGTTGTTGCCGTTAAATTTTGGTTGATATTTTTGAAGTACTAGATTATTTTACCTCCACCACAAACAAAAACTGAAACCTGTGGCTTGCAGTTCCCTCACAGACAGCTTCACTACGATTCAAGTCGCTCTCTCGTCTCGAACCGGAGCCAAAGAGGCAGGCAGCTGCTCAATAACTCCATGGCTGCCGCCAGAGCCACTATCTCTCACTTTCTCTCTATACATGTTGCGAACAACCCTTTTCATTCTCGCAAGCTCTCTACTCGTTGCATGCCAAAAAGAACGAGCTTTGTTTTATTTGAATGTCAAAGTTTGGGCGGGTTGTTGCCGTTAAATTTTGGTTGATATTTTTGAAGTACTAGATTATTTTACCTCCACCACAAACAAAAACTGAAACCTGTGGCTTGCAGTTCCCCTCACAGACAGCTTCACTACGATTCAAAGTCCAGCTCTCTCGGTCTCGACCGGAGCCAAAGAGGCAGGCAGCTGCTCAATAACTCCATGGCTGCCGCCAGAGCCACTATCTCTCACTTTCTCTCTATATCAGATGTTGCGAACAACCCTTTTCATTCTCGCAAGCTCTCTACAAATCGCAGTTTCTCACTCTCTACTCCAACTCTTCTTCATCCCAAGGCATCTAAAAACAACAATTCCAACACTTCGCTCGAATCGTCCCGCCAAAAACAGCCTAGGAAATCTCGGTCCCCTCTCCCTCGCGAACCTGTGAATTTTCCTGAATCTAACCCGTCTTTTCCGCTTTTTGGCCGGTTAAGGTACATATTTTTCTGACTGATAATAATTGTTAAACTTGCTATGTTGGTGAAACTTTAAACATTTGAGAGTCCTTTTACTTTGTTGTAATCTGTCTGAGAGAGTTTTGCAGAGATGGGTTTAAGATAGATGAGCTTGGTTCGGATATTTTATCTATTGCACTGCCTGCTGCGTTGGCTTTGGCTGCTGATCCCATTGCTTCATTTGTTGATACAGCCTTTGTTGGTCATTTGGGTACTCTTATTTGTTTTTTTTATTCTATCATCTTGGTATTTATGATCTTGTCAGGCTTTCATTTGTAGCTTTACATGTTAATCACACTAACCATGTATTTAGCATTTTCCCTAAAAATGAAATTGAACAGTGGCTAATAAGTTTTGGGTTTTGTGGTGCAGGGTCGGTTGAATTGGCGGCGGTTGGTGTATCAGTATCAATATTCAATCTGGTGTCAAAATTGTTTAATGTTCCTTTACTAAATATCACAACATCCTTTGTTGCTGAAGAGCAAGTGTTAATTAGAAAAAGCAATGATGGTAATTTAAAGTGAAAAGATATTAAATAAGCAGTTGCAGTTTTATCATGATACTATTTTGTTTGAACTTTTAATTGACTCTGGGGGTTTTGATATGATTAAGATGGTGAATTTGAGCATCAAGGCAAGAAAGTTCTTCCCTCGGTATCCACTTCCCTGGCACTTGCAGCTGGCCTTGGCCTTGCAGAAGCAGTTGCACTCTCAGTTGGTTCGGGTTTCTTACTGAATATCATGGGTATACCTATTGTATGTCAGGCTAGCTGATGATGTATTTTGTTAATATTTTTTGAAAATTTTAAGGTCGATTTGATATATCTTATTCCATTTCTTTCCTTTCTTCTTTCTTTCTTTTCCTTGCCTTACTTCTTAGGATTCACCAATGCGTGGACCAGCTGAACAATTTCTGACATGGAGGGCCTTTGGTGCCCCGCCGATTGTAATAGCACTTGCTGCTCAAGGCACTTTTCGTGGATTTAAGGATACCAAGACACCTTTGTATGCCATTGGTAAGTATTGCAGCAGGCCTTCTGTTTCAATTTCTCGAATTATGTTTTACTGCAACACAGCTCATGTGTTGGAGTCTAAAACCTGGCCAGCCCTATTTTCTCATCTGCAAAAACCAATGATTTATTAGCATATGAGAAGATTTATAAGATTTCTGTTATTTAAGTATTGCTGAACCCCAGCCAGAGCCAGTAACCAATGACCAAGAAAGATTGAAAAAGTTAGTTTGAGTTGATGGGCACAGCAGATCATAGGCTACATTTTTACCATTATCCTTTTTTCATTTTCCCACTTTGAATATCTAATTTCAGCTCCTCATACTAATTCATTTACATATTAGTTTGTAAACAAGATTGCCTGTCATCCCACTATGGTTGATTTATTTTCAAGAAGTAGCTCCAACTCTTCTTGAATAGCATTCTTCCCTATCAGAAAAGTATTGTAGTTTAACCTGTGGAACAAATATCATGCTAGAAGGTTAGTTATTTTCTTGATTCATAATTTCATATAGTTGATTTCTTCCTTGAATTAACAGGTGCAGGCAGCTTACTAAATGCAATATTGGATGCAATCTTGGTATTTCCTATTGGTTTTGGTGTTAGAGGTGCTGCAGTTGCTACTGTGATTTCTGAGTTACGTCAAAAATGTGGTAAACTTAATGAATCAAGTATACTTGGCTCATAACATTTCTACAAATTCTGAATTTTCTGTTGATATTTTACTTCTGCTGAACCTTTTTGTTCTCTAACTAGATATCTGATTGCCATTATTCTTCTCTGGGAGTTGAATGGGAAAGTTGCACTGATCTCTCCGAATGTTGACTGGAGAAAAGTTCCCCTCTACATAAAATCTGGTACATTTCTTACCAGCTAATTTTAGCAATGTTCAATTTCGTTTGGTGCTCCCTATATAAAATTTGGTGTGTCAGTTTTAAAGTAAATACTAAATAGTCGAGGTCTATCTTATATGGAAGAAAATTGCAGCATAAAAGTTTCAAGAGAAAGAAAAGAGCTTCTTTGGAATGCATTTTGTACAAATTCATCATATTAGGAGGGATTAGATTAGTAGCTCAAGTAATTTTTACTCTATAGATATAATAGCGAAACCTGTTCCTTTCTTACATTGACATTGATTCTATTCGAGGTTAGAATATCTTAGTCATACAATGCCTTAGATTAAGGCAAGCCATAGCTGTTATTTTCTTGTTGATCTTAAGTAGTACTTTGTGTATTTGCCTATTTTTTCTTATCGTTAAGCCACATAAAATGAGCCTTAACAACAGACAACCTCTAAAGTACTTCAATTTTGAAACAACAAAATTTAAGGAAATGGTTACGGTACCTGCAGGTGGACTTCTTATAGGCAGGACAATAGCGACCCTTGGAACTTTGACACTTGCAACATCACTGGCAGCTAGACAGGGCCCCATTCCTATGGCTGGTCATCAGATTTGCGTTCAAGTTTGGTTGGCGGTATCTTTGCTAACTGATGCTTTAGCACTCTCTGGTCAGGTAGCATGTCCAGTGTTTTTAGTTAGGAAGATCCAAATGTATATTTATGGAAACACCATTTAAGTAGCACTAAATGGAATCTTTTTTTCTTTTAAATCTACTTATCAATCATCTTTTCGTATTCTGCGACAGGCTCTTCTTGCCACTAATTACTCCCAAGCAAATTATCAACAAGCTCGCAAAGTGATTTACAGTGTTCTAAAGGTTTATAAAAGTTAGTTGTCCATTTCTTTGAAATTAATTTCCCTTTCATCTATAACTAAAATAGTTTTATTGTATTGTCCCTTGAGTTTTGAGCAGATTGGTTTGGTAACGGGATTTTCTTTGGCCGTCTTCTTATTAATTGGATTTGGAGCAATTTCTGGCTTATTTACAACAGATTCAGCTGTTCTCCAAATTGCCTGGTCTGGTACTTTGGTAAGTGGCCTCCTTGTGTATTCTTTACAAGAACTTGTAGATGGGTTTTGGTTCTCAGAATCTTTTTGATAGTTTAAGAGTCTCTAGCCACCTTGAAACACCAGCTTGAGGTTTTTTGCTGTATTCAAGTGAGTTTGGTCGAGTTGTTTTCAACACATGCATCAAGTGTTGTGACAGGTAGGCTATCTAACATTAATGCTATTTTGCATGAAGTTTGTTGCTGGGTCTCAGCCAGTGAATGCCGTGGCATTTGTTCTTGATGGGCTCTACTATGGGGTTTCAGACTTCGAATATGCTGCCGTGTCTATGGTTGTTTTAACTTCCTTTCTTTCTAATCTATGACTAAGTATGAATTAAATGCTGTAATAATTTTTGATAAACTGATATATTTCCCAAATGTGATTGTGTAGGTGGTAGTTGGATTGATCTCATGTGCATTCCTAGTGGTGGCTGATTCTTTGTTCAGTCTTGGTGGAGTGTGGACTGGCTTATTCCTCTTCATGACCTTGCGTGTGGTTGCTGGATTTTGGAGGTAACCTAATCTGTTAATTAGGAAGGAAAAATAAAATATCCTATGAATTTGAAATCTCATCAGATGAGTGGACTGTTTAATGTGCTAGGTTGGGCACAAAAAGTGGGCCATGGAAAATGATTTATTGTGATATGGAGAGAGGAAAGGGATAAGATTAAGAAGAAAGCATCTAAGTTGGCAGGGCCAAAGCTTTCAGTCTATGTGAGAAGGTGGTGGCAAGCAGCATTCATATTTAACTTCTAATTCAGGCTAATTGGATTCAGAATGAACACAAGATTTTCCATACTTTTAAGATGGCATCACCCGGTTACATGTCAGAATTGAATTGACTCCACCAATGTGAATTTGTTTACAGCCCAGCTTAATGTATATACTTTCATATAGTTGAACTTTGATGGTATATATTCTCTTTACCAGGGCTTATTCTTCTCGTAGTGTAAATGCTAATGATATATCATATACATCATTCATAGCATTAGCATAAACTGGATAAATTGTTGAAGAGAATTTCCTAACAAAGTAACAATACATGATCAGAAATGAATCTCATTTCTTTTTTATATCATTAACCATACTATTGTGTCCCCGAAAGTACAAAAAAAAGACTTTAGAGCAAAGGCTGAAGAAAGATAATAAATTACAACACCATACGTAATTAAAAACAGTCAATCTTCAAATCCACCCTTGGATTTATGGACCAACTTAGGAAATCTTCAGTTCATGAGTTACTGGCGGCAACTGCAGGTTCAATCCATCAACTCATGTTCAATTGTCATGAAATAAACACAACCTTATGAAACATCAAAGTTGAATAATTTTTCAAACGGTCGACTCCAGCATCATCAATTTTCTGTCTTCAAAGAATCAGCAAGGAAACCAGTAAGTCCAACAGAAGGCGAAGAAATATAATTGGTGATACCAATTGTTTTTCGGTTCTTTCTTATTTCCATTTTTCCCCAGTAAAATCTAGCCTATCAACTTCTTATGGCGCAAAAGTATCACATTATACAAACCACAGCAGCATGGTCAATGTATACACCAAGATGTTAGTGACAAACTTTCCAATATCTATCTATAAAGTTTTGGTACCAGAAAAGCATTTAATTTGATTAATTATGGAAAAAAAGATCAATATACCCTCTTAACCAGATTGAAACATAAACATAATAAGAATAACACCGTTTTCTAACCATAATGATTTTTCTAAACCATTGAAAGGAAGAACAATATTGTTTCCCTGGACGTAAATGAATATGAATCATAATGCTAAAGAACAGAACATTGAAAGCTGATTTCTGGAAAAAGCTACCAAAATCCTTTCAAGCACATCATGCAGCTATAATCCTTTTAATCCACAATCTTACCTCCTGCAGGTGTTCTCTGTATGTGACACCTACATATAGAGAACCTTCATCATGCCCATATTGTATTAAATTTTAGTTAATTAAAGCCGACTACAGAACATATCGTAGTAATGTAACAGGCAAACATAAAGTGAGGTCCAAAAGGAGGAAACTAGTTTCTCCAAACAGTAAAAACCCTGAAACCATCCATCATTGTCCATAAAACAGGAATCAAAATCAAACAACACTGGAATTCGATAAAACAAGGTGTGTCAGCACATTTAGTCCAGAAACAACAAGAAACTAGTTAGTTTAGTTATGCCAGAAACTATTTATCTATCCTTAGTAAGTTCATTTGGAACATAACAGAAACATGTTCCACCTTCAAGTCATTCAATTGGCAACAACAAGCAATGCACGTAAACTAAAGTAGTTATGCCATAAAGTGATTATCTAAAAATGTGATATAAAGTAGGATCACTTGGGGAAAAACAAATCAAATGAAATACAAGTAATTACCTAGCATGAAATAGGAAGCAATTATTCGACCCCAACAGACCTGGCAACTTTGTACCGTAACTTCCTATTCAGATTTTCCTGGTAAACAAATTCGTTTAGAAAGTAGCCTGAAATGAGCTTATCCAAAAATATATAGCCTGCCATGCACAAAGAACACAATAATAATAATAATAAACTCACCTGTTCAAGAACTTTAGCGGAGCTGGCTTCAACGAGCCTGGCCAAGCTTTCGGTCTTCAAAAGCATTTTCTCGTATAAATCCTCTAATCCAGCGGTGTAGTTAGTAGCTTCCGGTCCGATTAACCGGCTCAATCTCCCAACTTGCATTCCCTCGGCGCACGTATCCAACAAGGATTGATCCTTCTCCGTCTGTTTCATTCCAATTAAAGTCTCCTCATTTCTATCTTCATTCATGGGCGTTAAGCTCCTCAACTCGCAGCTCAAAAAGGGTAGCGCAGAGGTGGGGCTAAATGACCCGTAATGGCCTCTAAACGAGGGTCCAATGTTAACAACATCGATTGACAGCGGATTAAAACAGGGTCTGGATGATTGGAAGTGGAAGGCCCGATACTGGTTGGTTTGAATGAATTGGTCTTGTAGGGGAGTGGTGAAGAGGAGGAAAATGGACGGAGCGAAAAGGGAATCGGGATCAGAGTTTTGGATTGGAAGGGAGAGATTGGGGGTGGAGGAGAGAGAACGAGTGACGCAGAACTCACGCATGGAAGGGCGGAGGGGAGTCTTGCGGCGCGAGGAAAACCAACCGATGAGGGGTTTGTGGTTGAGGTGAGTAGTGGAAGAGAGTCGGGAGGTGTCAACTCGGCCGAGTGAGTCGTAGAAGGAGAGAAGAGAAGGGAAGCAGAGGAAGCCGGAGATAGTGGCGACGAGTTGCGAATCGAGGGTAGTTTGGGCGGAATCGTCGTCGGGGAGAGTGGAAGGGGCGATGTAAGTGACGTGGCCGAAGAGGAGACCGTCGACGTCGGCAGCGGAGGATGAGAGGCGTTGGATCATGGAGGCGAGAGTGGGGCCTGACATGGCTAATTTATGCAATGCCAGATCGGCCATGACGTGAAAATGGTGAGGGTAACAATTTCTCAGAAGCAGATGAAGTTCTTGTTGTTGGTTATATGGGCTTTCAACTACTCGAACTCCAAACACACACACCTCTTCTTACTTTATTTTAATGTCTCAATTGATACTTTTTCCTTTTTGGATCAACTCACGGACCTTGTTAATATATTTAGGGATGGGTCGGTATTAGGATAAGCATGAGACTCAAATCTAATAGATTATAATATAATTTAATTTGATTGGGTCGAATTTTTTTTAAAAGATTAGAGTTCGGATCAGATCGTGTTTGGGTTTAAAGTAAATAATACTCGATTCGACCCGACTCGAGAAAAATATATAACTTTACCTTTATAATTAGAAATAATTACAATAATATCCATCTATATTTTATTTTTTTCAATTAAATCCTTATTTTTATTGAATAAAAATAATATTTTTAATAAATATTATTTTGGGCCGGATCGGGTCGGGTTAGGAGTTTATCTCAAAAAGTAGGGTTGGTTCGGGTGGAGGATGTATAATTTTCAAGTTGGGTCGGGTTGACCGAAAATCCAACCCTACCCATGCCCATTCCAGTCACTATTTGAATCGGTCTTATTAGATTAAAAAAAATTAAAAATTAGGTTTGGTTCGAGTTTGGGTTTGGGATATAAAAATATCCAACTTGAATCGGTTCGAAAAATAATATAATTATATCTTATATATTTAAGGATAATTACAATAATATCACTCTTTATATTATTATTATTCAATTAAATCCTTATTGTATCAAATAAAGTTAAGACGTGTGTATTAGGTTAGGAGCAAATTTTATCTCAAAAGATAGTATATATGAAGTCACCTTAAATACGGATCAAATGAAATTTTATGTGAATGGTATAATTTATTGATTTGGGTCACGTTTACTAGAAACTTAACATATGCTCATTTCATCCCTACATATATTACTCCATATTTTTTTCAAATTCAAGGAATGATCCTAATGTTAAAAAGGATAAAATGTTACTTTTATTTAAGTTGGATTCGAATAACATTCGATGTAAGGTGTACATAAATTTATTATGGCTAAAATAGAATTGATACAACCATGTGACATATTAGAATGTTAAAAAACATAAATTCATTCACGTTTAATAAAAATATTGAAATCCATTCATATTCTTTCTTTCTTTTTTCATCTCATGAAATCTACTGAGATTGAATTAGATCTCAGCATCAAAATCAATGTTTTACTACCAAATATAAATGGTCTTGTACGCAGAAATCATATTGGAAATTATAATAAAACATTATTTTATCAATCACCGTCTAGTTCATAAATTCTTTCTGAAATATTTTATCTACAAGGTTTACTATCTTCTTAAGAATTAGTGAATTAAGTAGGTTTTTTTTTACAAAGGACACTTGTCAATTCATCTCCTTATTGGTTAATTAATTTGTTTGTTTGACTCAATAAGTGGTTTCAGACCTTAATTCATTATAAGGCTTAATATTTTTGTCGACAGCGGTTTTCGTCCCAATATTTTTATATTATTATTATTATTATTATTATTATTATTATTATTATTATCATTGCTTTTTTTTACAGATCCAACAAGGGCCCAAACACAAAACTAGGCCTAGTTTCAGATGAAACAAATCAAATTACAATGACCCAACACCAAGCCCAATGAAGATCCAGGCCTAACGCAATGGTTCTGACCCAGTAAGGAGCCTACTTGAGTGGCCCAAAACCCTGTTAGAGTTTTACCCTTAGCTCTAGCCGCCACTCATCTCAGCCATTCGATCTGGACCCATCCAACGGTCTAGATCAAGCTTCTTCCACCACCCATCTCCACCAGTCATCTGCCACCATTGATGCCACCAACCAAACCCCCTGCCATGTCAGAAACACATATCAACAAGCAACCCCAACACTTCACACAACATCACAATGATTTCCATGTAATGATTTGATTTCATTTAACAAGTAAAAGAAACATATATGTACAAAGGGTTATAAAATCCCCCGAAAGTTGTAATGAAAGGGGTTCATTTTCCAGTTTCGAAAAAGAAAAAAAAGAAACAAAAAAAAGAGTCAAAATATTCTAAGGTATTTTTGGTGTTTTACTTTTTTTAGTTTTCGAATAAAAAGAAAATAGAAATCAAAAAATAAAAGAGGAAAAGGATAGGGGTTTTACCTATTGACCAGAGTCTCGTCAGCGAACGGGGCCTCCTTTCACTAATCCGAACAATGAGAAAGCGTAGTGTGTCCCCGGGAGCAATATACTCCAGAATCGAGGTGATCCAACGACTAACAAAAGAGATCGATGAGCCGAAAGCTGAAGAGTCTCGACCTTATTTCATGATGTTAGAGGTCGATTCGCGTGAAACTAAGCCCAGATTAGAGACAAGGAGGTCGAGGCGAGCCTCATGGTGAAA